TCCTCACCAAAACTGTTTGCTGCTGTATAACCCCCTAAAGGGCCACAGGCAGCAGCAGCGGGNCTGCTGCTTCCTCACCAAAACTGTTTGCTGCTGTATAACCCCCTAAAGGGCCACAGGCAGCAGCAGCGGGAGGAGAAGCAGGAGCTGCTGCAGCAGCAGATGGTGCTGTTGCTGTTGCTGCTGCTCCTGCTGCTGCTGCTGCTGCTCCTGCTGCGCCCGCTGCTGCTGCTGCTGCTGCATCTGCTTCTCCCATAGGTGGGGGAGCTGCTGCATGCGTTTGCATGCTGGTGGGGCTGATGTCTTGTTTGTTTTCTTTTTTAATTTGTTTGTCTGTTTCTTGGAGTTCATTGCTGTCTAGGGTTTGCTGCTGCTGCTGCTGCTGCTGCTGTTGCTGCTGCTGCTTCTGCTGCTGCTGGCGGTCGTCGTCCTGTTGCTGTTGCTGTTGCTGCTGCTGAGGCTGCTGCTGTGGGTGCTGCAGCTGCTGTTGCTGCATCTGTTGCTGCAGCTGTTGCTGCTGCAGTTGTTGCTGCTGCAGCTGCGTTTGTTGTGTCTGTTGCAGTTGTTGCTGTTGGAGTTGCTGCGGTTGTTGCATCTGCTGCTGCATCTGCTGCTGCTGCATCTGCTGCTGCTGCTGCTGNGTTGGAGTTGCTGCGGTTGTTGCATCTGCTGCTGCATCTGCTGCTGCTGCATCTGCTGCTGCTGCTGCTGCTGCTGCTGCTGCTGCTGCTTCGCTACCCACCACGCTCTCTCCACCTCCGCCATCAGACAGGGAGCCAGCTTGGTGTTCAGCAGGGGCCTCCTAATAAGAAAAGATATAAAAGCAACAACTTCTGCTTCGCTGGGGGGCCCCTCAGCAGCAGCAGCAGCAGCAGCAGCAGCAGCAGCAGCAGCAGAAGCAGCAGCAGGGGGCCCCAAGTAAGAAGAAGAACCATCAGCTCCAGCACCACCCTTCACAAGGCTAGGCAACCAGGGGCCCCTTGTCATGCATGCATCTCCCTGCTGCTGCTGCTGCTGTTGCTGCTGCTGCTGCTGCTGTGGGGGGTATCGAGGCCCAGGGGCCCCCACAGAAGCTGGGGGGCCCACAGGGGGCGGGGGGCCCCCAGGGGCCTCGGGGGCCCCCGGGGCCCCCACAGGGTCTGTGAAAGGCAGCAAACGCGGCTCTATAGTTTGCTGCAGAGGAGAGAGTTCAGAGGGCCCTGAGAGAGGTGGGGGCCCTGCTGCTGCTGCTGCTGCTGCTGCTGCTGNCTGCTGCTGCTGCTGCTGCTGCTGCTGCTGAGGAAGGCAGCAGCTGCTGCGGCTGCAGCGTATAGGAATTATATAAAGACGGAGGAGGAGCTGCTGCTGGCTGCTGTAGGGTACTGCAGCAAAGATCAGCAGCAGCAGCAGCAGCAGGAGCAGGAGGAGCAGCAGCAACTGCTGCTGTTGCAGCAACTTGTGGCTGTGGAGGCACAGGCGTACTACCCCCGCCAGCACCCCCAGCAGCAGCAGCAGCACCACCCCCACCACCACCCGCTGCAGCAGCAGCAGCTGCTGCTGCTGCTGCTGCTGTTGCTGCTGCTGCTGCTTGCGGCTGCGGGTCTGATAAGGATCCCAAGTCAGTTTGCTGCTGCTGCTGCTGCTGCTGCTGTTCCTGCTTGATTCTCTTTCTGCATACCCTGGGTCTCTTTCTCGCTAGTCTTTTGCTTTTTCTTGGGGAGAGAGAAGGGGGAGAGGGGCCCTGGTTGTCTTCGGTATCGTTGTCTCCCGTGTCCGTCATTTCATTTGTATCTAAACAAGAGGCCCTTCTACATCTTTCTGCTGTTTCTGGGGGCCCCTCTGCAACATCCTCTGTGCTGGGGGGCCCCAGAAAGTCACTTGCTGCAGCAGGCTGCTCCAGCATTGCTATCAACCACAGACAGAGGGGGGCCCCCCCCTGCTGCAGCGGCTTAATAGGTAAGCAGCAAACAGCAACCTGCTGCTGTATAACCCATGCCGCTCCTCCCTATAGAAGTCAATGCTCAATAAGAAACAAAAGACGGATGCAGCGCAGTGCAGCCGCCACAAATCCCCTATTCCTGCTGCTACTCCTGCTCCTGCTGCTGCTGCTGCTGCTGCTGCTGCTGCTGCTGCTGCTGCGGGTGGCAGCCGGCGCGGCCAAGATTTCCCTGGAGGGGATGGGGGGACGGAGAAGATTCCGTTGGGCGAGTGATGAGGGAGAGGGTTAATTAGAGTGTATGAAGGAGTGCTGGTTTTCTTTGCTGCAGCGTTAAACCCAAGAGAAGCGGTAGCCGTTATGCTGTTTGGGTCTTACTGGCTGTCATCTGAAAAGATGAAATATGGGGTTCAAACGGCACGAAGAGAGAAAGAAGAGGCTCTATTGAGCTTCTTAGTTAGCCGCTAAGAGTGGTGGCGCTTCCTGAATGCCGCAGCAGGGGAGGAGGGCGGGTGCTGCTGCTACTGCTGCTGCTGCTGCTGCCGCCGCGTGCAGCAGGAGAGAGGCAGCAGAAGCTCCTTCTGCTGCAGTCAGCCGCCAGAAAGGACTCTCTTGCTGAAACAGAGGAAGTGAAGCGACCGGCGAAGAACGCGAAACAGACAGAGGCAGAGGTGGCGTTTGGGGCCCTCTTACTCACAGCCCCCTCGACCGTCGGTGGCCGGGCGAGGTGGAAACCCGCAAAAAAAAAGGGAAAGCTGCTGAAAAATGAGGATAAAGAGTTAAATAAACAGTTTATTTGACGTTTTCCATGACCAGAAGTCTCTTTAAGCACAGCTTTCCCTTCTATTCCGGCATCAGAATGCAAAGAAATATGTTCAATGCGCGGCTGGCCGTCTGGTGTGTATGTACACCTAAGATCGAGTCTATGATGCGCCTTCATGTACTGGCGCTGCATTGCAAGTTGCAACAATTGGGTTTATGAAATATATTTTTTCATGAATTTTAATTTGTTTAAATAGAATTCAAAGAACTATTAACTTTTCTTCGTTTCTTCTTCTACTCAAGTAGCCGCTAATACAGCCCCTCTCTCCCTTCCCCACCACCACATACCACCCTCCCTCCCCTTTCGGTTTCAGCGCTTGTCTGCATCGTCTTCTTCGTTTCTTTTTGTGTTTTATTTTTTCAGATCCCTTTGTTTTTTCGTCTGTTTTACAAAACAAGTTAAATTTCTCGTATTTTCCCCTTCAAGTACTCGACAGCGGCCCCCCATTTCAGCTGCATTCCTGATTTCAGGTTTCCAACGCAGCGAGGAAAAAAGACTGACCACCAGCCACCCGCCGTTCGTTTGTTTTCTTTTTTTTTTTATCTTTTTTCTGAAAATGTTGGAAGCAAGACTCCAAAATGCCGTCGTTCTCAAGCGAGTGTTTGAAGCAATGACCTGTCTGGTCAGCGAGGTGAACCTCGACTGTGATGAATCCGGCTTAAAGCTACAGGTAATTTCATGTATTGTAGTTTTCATTCATTCACAAGTTTTATATTTTATATTAAAGAGAAATATCTTCTTACAATGTGTGTGTATGATGCTCTTGTTTCTCGTGTTGTCTATGTTCAGGTTTGTCTTGTGTAGTATACACCAGACAAACCTGAATTTTCTTTTCTCTTTATATTCAACTTTATAATGTTTATATATTCATGTTTCTCTTGTTTGTATTCAAGTTTTTCATGTGTGTATGTTCAAGTTTCTCTTGTGGTGTGCCTCGTTCAAGTTCCTCGTCTCACATACATATTCAAGTTTCTTATGTTTATAATTCAAGTTTCTCTTGAGTGTATATATTCAAATTCAAGTTTTTCTTGAGTGTATATATTCAAGTTCAAGTTTATCTCGCTTTGTATATCGTTCAGCTTTCCCTTGTGTATATATTCAAGTTTCTCTTGAGTGTATATATTCAAATTCAAGTTTTTCTTGTGTATATATTCAAGTTTCTCTTGTGCTGTATATCGTTCAAGTTTCTCTTGTGTGTATACACAAGTTCAAGTTTCTGTTGTATTGTATCTCACGTAATTTTTTTTAATATTTATATTCAAGTTTCTTGCGTTTATAAATTTAAGTTTCTTTGTATAGAGAAACAGCACTCACGACAATACTGGTTGTATACTAGTATATAAGTGAGTAAAGAATATAATTTTTTCTTTTTTTTTTTTTAAATAAATAAAAAATTTATTGTGAAATATATGAATTGAATTACAGGCAATGGATCAGT